GGCCTAGTTAGCAAAAAAAAATCAACAATTCTTGAATAGAGCTCTCTAAAGCACAAGATGCAGTGCAAAACCTCCCATCAGAGAATGGAGGTAGAGCCTGACACACACACACTTACAGGGGTTAGAGAGTAAGCTCTGGCATCCTAGAAGTGGCCTTCTGTGTAATCAGAGCAGACACTGTCACAGAAAACAGCGGAGGGCTGCTTTATTCAGTCGGAAACAGAGAGCAGAGAGGGGATTATTTCTAAAATAGCTCTGTGTTTGTCTTAGACAGAGACTGGCCAGAGTCACTCTGGACTGAATCTGTTTTACACACACACAGATTCATACACTTCACTTTTACACATACAAATGCATAAAAATAACCCTTGAGTACACAGCGACAACCTGTGAACATACACATACAGAAAATATCCCAACGTACGTCCTTATAAGCATATAGACACCTACAGAAATACATGCTGTCATAATATAGACATACTGATATCAATTGAACACACAAATGCACATACACTGTAGATTGCAGTAACGCGTGACAGCATGAAAGAGATAATGCAGCACACTGGAAGCTGCTTTGGTGTGTGTAGAAATATGTGAGTGATCTAAGACCAGGCATTAGTGTTTCTGATAAAGTGAGGGGCCTTAAGTGGTTTTAGGAAGGACAGAGCCCCCACATGTGTGTGCGTGTGTGTTGGGATTGGGGTCAGGTGCCTGGTGCATTTGTGTGTTTCTGCTTACTGTCTGCCTTGTCGCCACAGCGATGACATCATGGTACATGACCGCTGAACGATGGAAAGAATTCCCCCGTCTTCTTTACAAATAGAGAGACAGAAGAAGTAGAGCGATAGAACAAATGACAAAGGACAAGGGATGATGAAGAAAAAGAGATGAGAGATGCAGACAGAGAAATGGTGAGAGAGGCTGAAAGTGAGTGAGATAGGAGAAGAGCTATAAACCTAAATAGAAATTAGTTAAATATTGAATAACTTGTCAAATGTTCATATATATTCATGACTGTTTTACTACTCACCACCATTACAACCTGGTTGAAATGTTATTCAGCCTCTTGTCAGTTTTCTGTAAACATTTAAAGTGATTCATCCATGCAGCATGTCACTGCAGCATGGCATTGTTGTCCATTGAAACCCTCTTTTTTTGGGAACCCAGCTGTGCCAGCAGTACAGTGCTTTTCTTGATCTGCATGCAAGCTGACACCAGTGCTGTTAAAATCTTGACACAAATGTGTCACACCTCTGCACATACAGATCGACAAGTAATCTCTAGGATGCGCAGTGCAAAAATACCTGTATTTTAGGCCCGTGACACACCAAGCTGACAGTTGGCCATTGGCCACCGTCAGGCAGTCGGTGACTGTCAGTTGGGGTTCATCTTCCCGGTGTGTCCCACACTGTTGGCACTAGTTGGTTCCTGTCTGCATTTTTTCAGCTGATTCGCCATCTTGAATCAGAGTTGGACCTTGCTGGCAAGAGGGTGACTGACTGGCTGTTCAGCTTAGAGAATGAATATACCAGAAAAGAACAGTTCAGGAAAGCTCCTTCAGGCTATTCTCCCATATAGTGCGGTTTGTCCTTTTTTCGCCTCGACAACCTCCTTTCTTCTTCCACACCAAAAGACCAAGGACAGACAACAACAGTGCCATTTGCAAATTCCTATCAGACATATTCTCAATTAGAAGCAGCTATAAACAGCAGCTGTTTAGAATGAGTGCTGCTTTATCTAGCTCTTCTTCTTTCCCTTTCTGAATGGCAAATACAGATACTGCCACCTGCTGGTAGGGTAAGTTATGTCTCTCACACACATGCAGAACGTACATGCCAGTTGGCCATTGCCTGTAGTCTGTGCAGTGTGTTCAAGTGCCACTTTTCTTTCCCAACTGGTCCAGAGAAAGGCGACATGAGGCGACACAGCAGTGGGCCTACGCCGCTGCTAGTTCTTTCATATCGGCTTGGTGTGTGTCTGTCCTACGGCAAAAAATGTTGCCAAAATCAGAAAGTACAAAAGATACAACCTCAATAACAAGCTTTTATTCTTTGTGTACCTTTAGTACTGTAGACCTTCCCTTATCCTGCTGTGCTCTCTATATTCCTACAGAAAGTAAAGACATAAAAGAAAAGTTACAGATCTAAGGCTGTGAATCCACTGGGAACCTTTTCTCCTCACAGTGCCAGCTTTGTTGTCTTTGTTATTTTTAATAGTAAGGACAAACTGCCAGCTGTGCTGAAAGCCTGCTGTGTTTTAAGTGCCCTCTGACAGTAGAATTATCTAAAGATTTAGCAAAAGAGGCTGCACTTTAAACTGTTTTTAAATGATAATATCACAAGTGTAGGAGCCACAACAAGTGCTTGTCCTAAGCATGTATTTAGGTCTGCTGACTGAGATGGTGGAGCACAGAGTGTTTTAAGTGTGTGCATGTGTATTAGACAGAGATGAAGGGAGCGCCATAGAGAGGCCCGGAATGAAGCGAGTGCATCTGGAATAAATATTGTTTTATCACCGGGGTTTATTAGCACCATGTGCAGCAGGAAACTCTCAGATATGGTATAAAACTAGATGCACAGTTAGCTTTAACAAGACTAATGTTCCATTAGCTTCTCTGTATAGAGTATGTTTGCATGTGTGTGTGGGTGGGGGTGGGGGTTTGTTTATATATACCTGTGGGGACAGAACAGTGCAGGGACCAGAAGTCACTTGTGGGGACCAGAGGCTGGGTCCCATGAATAATTTGTCAATTTTTACCAAAATGACAGGGTAAGAGTGTAAGGTTACAACAAGTGTTGGCTCTGGTTAAAGTTAAGGTAAGGATTAAGGTTAGGCGAGTAGCAGTTCTGGTTAAGGTTAGGGTAAGTCTCCTGGAAATAAATGTAAGTTTATGCATGACCCTGTAAGTGAGGACTGCAAGGATGTGTGTGTGTGTGTGTGTGTGTGTGTGTATACCAATGTTTATATTTAAAAAAAATTCTATGACAGTGTTCCAGTGTGTCAAGTCTGGGGAGAAAGGAAATGTTCTGTCTGATAGCAGAACAAAGTCCAAGCACTTGTGTTGGTTTAAGGTTCCAGAGTCAAAACACTGATTAAGAGAAGGAGCGCTTGGGATTCCCCAAAAATTACCAGGGTTCTGCTGAAGCAGACATAGATTAAATGTATGTGTCACCTCTCCTTATGATAAACGGGTCCTCTTATTTAGTTCTTGTGTCAAGTAAGAATTAAACACTGATGCATTTCAGAAACTTTTTTTGGTTGCAAAAAAGGTTCTGACAGTGGCCATACTACAGTACAGAAGCTCAAGCTACTAACCCAAGTCTTAACTACCACAACTGCTCCTGACAAGATTGGTGCAGTACAGATGCATGATGGGACACTTGCAGACTGACAGTGTGGTCAGTGAGGTTGACCAAAGAATCTGTAGGTCTTCACACAGCCCAAACATGTAATCTGTTTTGATTTAGCCTCTCTCATCTCTGTATTCCTTACTGCACCACTGTATCTGTGTGTGTGTGTGTGTGTGTGTGTGTGTGTTGGAGAGAAAGAGAGAGTGCTGAGTAAATAAAGACAGTGAACGAAAAATGTGAAAACAAGATGCAAAAAATGCTAATGAAATATGCCTCTGCACCAGTGTATCTGGATAATTGTATGTCTGTGTATGTATATGTCTTTATATGTGCTTATCTGTAGCTAGGGAGATGGAGTACACTAGAGGAAGTGTTAGGAAATATGGGCTTCCTTTACCCTTACTTTACTTTTATTCACAATTTATTCTCTTGAACATTGTAAGCTAGAAACTGAAGTTGCATCTTTTTGAAAGTCTCTTGACTTTATTACCTGATTGCAAAAAACACAATGTATATAAAAAGCAAGATTCAGAGGAAAACGGGCAAAGGGGGAATATGTTTGTTCTTTCATATACTGTACATGTTTGCATCTGTGACATGTGAATGTTTGTGTGCATGTGGGTGGTCAATGTTTGAGCCCTGTGGGATTGTGGGCAAACCGTTGTTATTTAGATTTGCTCTGGAAACGGACAGAATTCCAAGAGCTGTGGCTGATGAGATGGGCAGGGTGGATGAGATGCAGCTTGTTGATTCCCGACCACATAG